TTCATTCATTCATATAAATCGGCGAATGTTGGAATCAAATATGAAAAAAAAAGCAAATCGATTATTATTATTATTATTATTATTACAATTTTAAATAATGAATTAATTAATATTATTATTGTTCGATGGCGGAAATTTTTTTTTTTTTTTTTATGTTTTCGGGTAATTTATGACGTATTTTTTGTTATTATTATTATTATTTTCTTTTTTTTTTTAAAAGCTCGCTCGATGCGAAATAATAATATTAAATTTTCCTTTTTTTTTTTTTTTTTTTTTTTTAATTAAAAAAAAAAAGGCAACAACAACAACAATGGGAAAATCAATTTTCATTTTTCCCGCTTTTTATTATTATTATTATTATTATTATCATCATCATCATTATTATTATTATGATAAATAAAAGAAAATAAAAAAAAAAAAGGAAAATGAAATTCGACGATGAAAAACGTGAATATTTATTTATTTTATTTTTAATTTTTTTTTTCCCGCGTATACTTATTTCGTTTGTTTGTTTGTTTCGTTTGTTCGTTTGTTTGTTTGTTTGTCGATTAGTTTTATTTCGCTCTCGTGTTTTCTTTTTCCCCCCCCAAAAAAATAAAAAGCCGTAATAAAATTTTTGTTTTTTTGTTTTTTTCTAATTACTCGAATTCTAAAAAGTCAAAAAAGGACGACTTGTTGATATTAATTTTTTTTTTTATTTAGCTCCCCACCACTCTGGGTTCCCCAAAAAAAAATATTTTTTTGTTTTTTTTTTCTCTCCATTATTTAACGTGGTAAAAATTCCGTCTAGACAGTAACAACAACAACAACAACAAAAACAGAAAATAATTTTTTTTTTTTTTTCACCCCCGTAAATATAATAATAATAATAATAATAATAATGATAAACCTTTTTGTAATTACGTTTAAAAAAGGTTTAGACATTTTTTTTTTTAAACGGTCGTCTAACATTTTGACAGGTTTTATTATTATTATTAATATCAAAACCTCTTTTCACTTCAATTTTTTTTTTTTTTTATAAAAAAAATAATAATGATTTTTTTTTTTATGAAATGATTTTCCAACCTTTTTCATATCTTTTCACCCCCCCCCCCCTTACACTTCTCTACCTCATTTTTTTTCGCACGGGAGCTTCCGGTTTCGACCGATGACAAATGTTTTTGACATTTTTAACCTGAGAAAAAAAAAATGGGGGGAGGGGGATGGGGAAAAATTGTGGCATTAAATCATCAAATTCAAATTAATAAAAGTTAATTATAATAATTTTCAATCAATTTTACTTAATAATAATAATAATAATAATAATTAATAATAATAATAAAATAAAAAAATAAATTTCGTAATAATTTAAATCGGATTAAATATTTAAATGGAGATTATTTAAATTTATTATTATTATTATTATTATTATTATGAAGTTGTCGATCGTTATTCGTGGATGGGGGGAAGGGGAAAAGGGAGGGGAAAAAGGGAAACCTTAAAATTAAAAAGGTTTAATTTATTTCGAAAAGAAAAAAGAAATTGTCACGAATTTTTATCGATTCGTCATAAATTGATTTAAAAGCGTAAAATATTCGGATTCTGATTGGTCGGATCGTTCCGTCTCTCGTTTCGCTTTTTTTTCGTCGAACAAAACGAACCAATTAATAATTCTACTATGCTTAATTATAAATTTTTTTTTTTTTTTCATTTCGCTTTGACAATCACGAAACGGGGGGATGGTAGGGGGATGAGGGAACGTTGGGGGAGGGGAAGGGAGAGAGGGAGGGGGAAAAGGTTTTGATTGGTAATTACTTAATCGAAAGCGAAAGTTATTTATTTATTCACGCTTTTTTTTTCCCAAATGATTGTATTTAAAAAATGAAATTTTTTTTATTTTTATTTTTAAAGGGGAATAAACCGAAACGAGAAATGGCGATAGAAATAAAAAATAAAAATGGCGGTTTTCAAAAAATAAATAAAATAATAATAATAATGATAATTTAAATTCGGATTCTCTGTCATTTTTTAGGCTCGCGTATGAAAAAAATTTTCTCTGTTGATTTACGTCGAGAAAATTCACGGAAAAATAAAATATATGCTCGAATTTTTATTACCGTAATTAAATTTTGACGGTTAACAAAAAAAAAACAATAATACGGTAATAATCCGTAAGTTTGTAACGTAAAACTCTCTCGTATTAACTATTATTATTATTATTACCGGAAACGTTTCGATTTAAAAAAAAAAAAAAATGTCGTCCGATCGTAAATAAATTTCTTTCTCTATTTTTCGCAGCTGCGAAACAATAAATAAATGCATACTAGTACGATATGGTTTATTGTCGTGTTTAATGATTACGTGTCGGATGTTTTTCAAATTTTTAAATTTATTTATTTATTTATTTATTATTTATTACTCTTTTCAAATTTCAGGCAACTTATTAAAATTAATTATTTATTTATTTATTTAAAATAGGGAGAGAGAGAGAGTGAGAGTAATTTATTCGAGCTCACGTCTTTTTATTTATTTTTTTTTTTTTTTGCATAAAATTTAGTTGAAGTAATATTTTTTTTTTTTACGGTCGTCGTGGCATCAGACAAACAAAATAAAACGATTATGTTACGCGGGGTAAAAATTTATTCGGAGTCGCGAAATTATTCGAATTTAAAACAGAGCGAAAAGATATTTATCATTATTATTATTATTTTGAAAAAATAAATAGGGGAAAAATTGGTAAATGAAATGAATTTAATATATGTGGGGGGAAATGAGGGGAAATAGAAAAAATTTTATAAAAAAAAAGGAAAATGGCGGTGATGATGCGAAAAAGAAACGATTTATATATGTATAAATTTTTTTTTTCAATGTTGTTGTTATGCGTGCCCCCCCAAATATTTTTTGTTTTTTTATTATTATCATTTTTTTTTTCGTCAAACGTTTAAAGGTGTGTGCGTGCGCCATCGAAACAATATTTTTTTTTTTTTATATAAAAGAAAAAAAGTTTATTTTTACGTGATTTGTTTTTAAGTGTATATGATTCCAACATGTTTTTTTTTTTTCAGCCATATTTTGTACATATATAAAAAAAAATAAAAAAGTATCTTTACAGCTGCGTTACACTGCAAAACTGCAACTGTTGTTGCCTGCGTGCGTGCGTGAGTTTGCGTGTGCGTGTGCGTGTGTGTATTTGCTACTTAAATAAATGGCATGGGCATAATCGACGACCATTTCATCACAAAAGCATCTTTGTGATAAAATTTATTACGTGTACATAGGTTCGATCGAACGAAAATACGAAGGAAACAAAGCACATATCGAACATGTGTAGAGTTTTTGCATGTATAGAGAGAGAGAGAGAGAGAGAAAAATATGGAGTATCTCTCTCTCTCTCTCTCTTTCGAACGAGTTTTCCGTTCGCGTTTCCGGTCGTAACGCCCGCTCGAAATCGTTCGTCGTTTTCGTTTCGTATACCGTAATAATTTTTTTTTTAAAAGGAAAATTTTTAACGTGCCTTAACTACTCGCGTCATTCTCCCTATTTTTTTTTTTGGGGGGGTTTAGGAAGAAATCGACTGTCGAATTCGCGCTGTTGTATTTTTTTTTTCGCTCGGCTTTTATTTATTCATGCTTTTCTCTACTACTACATTTTTTTTTAGCTTTCTTCTTAATGCTTTTGGCCTGGAAAGAAAATTTATTTTTTTAAAGAAAATCGTTTTCTTGCATTCGCAAATCGAATTAGGAGCCTTTTTTTTTGTTTTTTGTTTGTTTGTTTGTTTCTCATGATCAAAAGAGAGTTGATAGTTTGTTTTGATGAGAAATAAAAAGGACAATCAATGAAATACTTTGTCTTGCAATAAAACAAATTTTTTTTTGACATTTTGAGAGTTACATGTAGATTTAATAGGAAAACGTGGTCGTTTCAAGGGAAATTGTGTGACTTTTCCCACGTTTTCGCTGCCAATTTCAAACCTGAACAATGGCGAATATTTTGTTTTTTTTTTTTTTTTTTAAATTATTATTTAACAAATATATTTTGCCTAAATGAGTTGTGGTAGCTCAAACAAGAAAATTCTTTATCCACAACAGTAGAGAGGGTGTAGTTTAGGGGGTAGATACGGGAAATTTGAGGTAGAGTGGGAAAAACTTAATTTAAATCGAAAAGAGAAACTCGTGGAAACGTTTTTTTTTTAAAGAGTTTAAAAACTAAATTAAAATTTTATTTATCCCACGTCAGAGGGGAAATGATAGAGTAAGTAAGTAATCACTTCTACACCACTTATATATATCATTGGGCAAATAATATACGGCATAAGATTGAAATTGACGTGACGTCAAATCATTTAAAAAGGTCTGTTAAGTAATTAGAAAATCCAATCTCGTCAATCTTCAAGATCAACAAAAGAGGATTTTTACGAAAAGACAAATGAGTTTTCTTTTTTTTCTTTTTTTTTCTGCTTCTCGGAGGGATTTGAAATTTGGCTTTACATAAGAATTAAATTTAAATTTTTTTTTATTTTTAAAAAATAATTTATGTAAACGCAGTCGGGGGTTTTTTTGTACGTATTTCGAGTGGTAAACGTTAGGAAAATTGTTTTTTTTTTCTCCATACTGTAAATATATATATATAAATATGTAAATATGAGTAAAATGTATATTTATAAATATACAATACGTAGGTTCATGCTTGACCAATTCGAATTTTTTTTTATAGACTCACTAAAAATAATATTTTTAAATATTAAAATAAAAAAGAAAAAAAAAGATGGAGAGGAGGGAGGGGGAGAAAAGAAAATTTTTATTTTCCGGCTTATGGAATCGAAGTAGGAGCAAAAAATGTTTATGTTTATTTTAGCAAGTAGTTAAAGTCATGTAAATAGCTTATAAATGATAGAAAAAAAAAAAAAAATTTTTTTTTCGTTTGATTTTGATCAAAGGAAAATTGAAAAAGGAAAAAAATGAAAATTCACTTTTCCTTTTCGGAACGATAAAAAATTTGAGAAACGTATATAAAATTTCCAGGTGATCGCCGTTATATCGATTTTGTTCATTGTTCTGAGTACGATAGCGTTAACCCTGAACACGATACCAGCATTGCAAGTTAACGAACCCGAGGGTGGTCCTAGTCAAGACAACCCTCAGCTAGCGATGGTCGAAGCGATTTGCATAACATGGTTTACGATGGAATACATGCTCAGGTTTTCGGCGTCGCCGGATAAGTGGAAATTCTTCAAAGGCGGACTTAATATAATTGATCTTTTAGCCATACTTCCGTATTTCGTTTCGTTCCTTGTCGAAGCCAACAAAAACGGAACTCATCCGGGAACGGATCAGTTTCAGGACGTCCGAAGGGTCGTTCAAATATTTCGTATAATGAGGATATTGCGTATATTGAAACTCGCTCGTCACTCGACGGGGTTGCAAAGTTTGGGTTTCACACTTAGGAACTCGTATAAGGAACTCGGGTTGCTGATGTTGTTTCTCGCGATGGGAGTACTCATATTTTCAAGTTTAGCTTATTTCGCGGAAAAAGAAGAACACAATACGAAATTTAGCAGCATACCGGAAACGTTTTGGTGGGCCATGATAACCATGACCACCGTCGGCTACGGTGACATATGTCCGACGACCGCGTTAGGGAAAGTTATCGGGAGCGTTTGTTGCATTTGTGGCGTTTTGGTCATCGCTCTGCCCATTCCAATTATTGTTAATAATTTCGCCGAGTTTTACAAAAATCAAATGAGAAGAGAAAAAGCATTGAAAAGGCGGGAAGCATTGGAAAGAGCCAAAAGAGAAGGGAGCATTGTTTCTTTTCACCACATCAACCTCAGGGACGCTTTCGCCAAGAGCATGGATCTCATTGACGTCATCGTGGACACAGGTTAGTGAAAATTTCCTCATTTTACGTTAAAACACTTTAATCAAAACAATTTTCTCGACAAGCTTTTCAAACATTGGGTTTAAACCAAATTTTGATTAAAAGGTTTTCGCGGAAAACCGCGTCAAATAAAAAAAAAAAAAAAACAGGAGAAACTCCAAAAACAAAAGTTTTTCCTGTAGGTTTACCGGGTTAAGGCATTCAAATTTTTTTTTAAACCGAATTTTCTCAAACCTTTCATTTTCTTTTTTTAATTCACACGTGACGTCATTTTTTAATAAATCTTTTTTTTCTTTTCTTTTTTTTTTTAGATATTAAAATAAAATTAATTATTAAATAATTAAGTGTGTTAATTATTAATCAATAAAAAAATTATTACATCGTTTCGAATTAATGTAATGTTATTAATAAATAAATAAATAAAATTATTAATAAACGAATTAGTTAAAGAAGATTAATAAGGTTTCGTATCGGGGGTGGGGGAGGGAATAAATAGAGAGAGGGTGGGATTTTTTTAGGTCATATCAAAGTTTTTTTTTTTTTTTCTTCTCCCACGTAGTAGTAGGCGTGCAACTTTTTATTACGCAGTTACACCCATAAGATATTTTTTTTTATATACTTTAAGGTAATTACAAATTCGTAATTGACATTTGACGTGGCACGAACGTTTATAATTATTTTTAAAAAAAAAATTTTTTTCCTTTCCCAACGGGTGAAAAGAAAAGAAAAAAAAGAAAGAAAAAAAAAAAAAAGAAAAGAAAATTATGTTTTATTATTTTCAGGTACGACGGTTAAATCGAAAATTCCAGTTATAAAGAAAAAACGTCACACGAGATCTCTCGATTCTTACATCGACAGAGTTTCGCCAAATTCTAAGTCAGGTCTTCGTCAATTTTTTACGTGTGCGTGAGGGTGGTGTTGTCGTGTTGTCGAACCTTGTTCGACAAAAAAAAAAAAAAATTTTTTTTTTTTATATATCTGTCGTTCAAACTGTCGCTTATCAACTCGTAATTTTATTCCCCCGCCCCTCCCCCACTTGGGTTCAGAACGGAAGTAATTTGGAGAGAGAGTAGAAAGGAAAGGATTTTTTTTTTTTTTTTCGTTGAAAATCTAATGGAAAACATTTTATTAAAAATTACAAAACTTTTGCGTTAATGAGTCACCATCATTATTTAGCACCGGAGCTTTCATGGATGGTTCCCGAAAACTTTTCTCGTTAATAAATTTTCTCTCTCTTTCCCCCTCCCCCCCCTCTCTCTCTCTCTCTCTCTTTCTTTTTAAAAATATATTATGCGTGTAAATACGCACGTTTTTCATTTTTTTTTTTACGATGAAAATTTTTAAGAAATTTTTTCGTGAAAGTTAAACATCAAAATCATTCATTTTTTTTTTCATTTCCGTTCCAGATATTAAAAAAATAATAATAGTAATAATAATAATAATGAAGAAATTAATTGAATTTTTAATCATGAATAATAATAATAATAATAATTTTTATCGTTCTCGAACGTGAAATTAAGTTTTACGCATAAAAAAAAAATTTTTTTTTTTTTTTTTATTCTCGATATATATCACAAAATGGAAATGTGTGGGGGGGGGGAATTCTAATTTTTTTTTTCATACGTTGGCAATTAATCGGGGGGGGGGAACTTACGAGTTGAATGAATTGGCAATATTTTTTTTTTTTTTTTCGATTTTTTTTATCCGTTGCATGAATGATCGATTGTGTGCTTCTTCTTCTTCTTTTCCCTTCTTCTTCTTCTTTTCCTTCTTCTTCTTCTTTTCCTTCTTCTTCTTCTTTTTAATTTTTTTTTTTTTTTTTTTTTTTGGTTGGGGTACTAACTGATGCTGGGGAAATGATGATTGTTCATATTGTTTTAATTTTTTTTTTTTTTTTTTTTTGACATAAAAATTCTCTCATTCCCCTTTTCAAAAAAAATGTTTCATATTCATATTGAGTGTTGTAACCTTTATTGGATTTTCTTTTTGTTTTTTGTTTTTTTATTGTGTTAACAAGAAAAATGTTTTTTTTTTTTTAAATGAAGGATGCGTTACATCGTATAATTTAATTGTTTAGTGTGACGTAACAACGGTTAATAACTCTTCCATAGTGGAATTAATAATTTATTTTTATTTATTTTTTTTTTTTAAGTTACAGATAAAAAAGAAAAGACAGGATTGAAAATGTGTGGGAAGGAGATCGCGGCGGCGGTGGTGGTGGTGGTGGGTGTGTGTGTGCGTGTGATAAAAACAAAAAAAAAGTATTATTATTGGAAAAAGTTGGAAAAATCACACGAAAAACACATTTTCAACATTTTCCATCCACGTGATTGTTATTTAATATTTTTTATGCGTGAAAGTAAATGACTACTGTTAATCGAACGAAGCAGGGAACGAAAAAAAAATGAATGAATGATTGATTGATTGATTGATACGTTCGTTATCAAAAAAAAAAAAAAATAATAATGACCGTAATAATAATAATAATAATAAAGAGCATTAATAAATAATTATTAACGTTAATTATTTTCAGGTGGAACACGTGTGTTTCATTTTGAATTATTAACGTCGTCCATGTTTATTTTTTTTTTTTTAACTCGTTATTATGTTTGGATGTAAAAAGAAGAAAACGTCGACTGCTGGAAAATGATTGATTCATTCCATTCATTCGTTTTTTTTTTAGGTTTCGGATTCTTTTTTGTTGTTGAGCGGAAGTTGTAATCGGTGTTGTCGGGCTTTGTTTTTTATTAACAAGGTTTCATTTTTCCACAATGGCAGCTTTTCTTCTTATTATTTTTTTGTTGCTTTTTCGGAAGTTATGTTGTATGATGATAAATTTTTGTTGCTTGTTGTTAAAATTGAACGTGTTGACGTTTCGCAGGGCAAACACTATCCCAAATGGATGGATCAAACGCGGGAGGAGATGGCAGTGGGGTAGGAGGTAGAAATCAAGTCAGTTCCGATGGCGGTACCGGTTTCGGAATTGCGAGACACAGAAGACTGGAAGCCATTACTCAACCGCAGGGTTTAATCAGGCCGGATACTCCACCGCCGACCAGATCTCTTTTATTAGATTTTGCGGCTGCCGAACAAGAATCTAACGAAGAACAACCTCTAACGAGATCACCTCCGGGCTATTCGTCATCGGTAAGTTTAATTAAAATTTAAACATTTATGGGAAGAAAAAAAAAAGGAGAAGAAGAAGAACAAAACATTGCCCCCTGTTTTTTGATCAAAAAATTGTTTAAATTTTCATTTAATATTCGTTTAAAAAAAAAAAAACGACAGAAATACCAACATTTACCAAAAAAAAAAGCGCCATTTTTTTTTTTTTTTTACTTTCTACTTTCTACTTTTTTTCTTTTTCTTTTTGTCATTTAAATTTCTTTGCACGTAATTAATTTATTAAATGAACTTGTGACATTTACTCTCTCTCTAAAGCACTTTTTAAATTCACGCCGTTACAAAAAGAATCGATTTTTCTTTTGACTGGTCTCACATTTTCCAACAAATTTTTTTTATTGCATTTAAATTTAATTAAAAAAAAAAAAAGAAAAAAAAAAAAGAAAATTCGGTTGTTTTTTTGTTCGAACGGGGAGAAATGTCTCAGCAGACAAAATATTACGTCACTTTTCAAATAATAATAATAATAATTGTTTAATTTTTATGACGTCATTCATTTTTCTTTTTCTAAAAAACTAATTTCTTTTTTATTTATATTATTATTATTTATTTAATTTGTCGTCGTTTTCGTCGTTTTCGTTTTTGTTGTTATTACTTTTATGTAGTTTTTCTTGTTTTTTATTATTATCATTATTATTATTTTTTTTTTTTTTTTTTTTTTTTTTTATTTTGTAAATGCTTTCTCTCTAACGATGATTCAAGGAGGATGTCAAATCTAAACTTTCCGGGCCGAAGAAACTCGTCGAGAATCTCGATGTTGAATTGCCGAGTGAGTTCGAATGTTGCTTTTGCACTACGAAGGTAGTATACTGATTTCATTCCCTTTGAATCCTTCTTCTAGTATACGATAATCAAAAAAAAAAAAAAAAAAAGTCTGCAGTTTCTACTAGAATGTCTAGAATTTTCCTTTTTCTTTTTTCTTTTCTTTTCTCTCTTTTTTTTTTAAACGATTTTATCTTATTTTCCTGAACTATGAAGTAGATTCCGCAACGATGTATCGATGTCGGCGGTAAGGTTAAGGTTTTATTTTTTTTTATTTGTCGTCACGTGGTTTTTGACAAATAAGTAAATAATCATCACCACCGGAAGTCAGTCAGTCAGTCAATCATTCATTAATAAATTCTTAAACACTTTTAATATTACCACCTTTCGTGACGTGACACCGCGCCTACTCATTCATTCATACAAAATTAATTAAATTAAAATTGGAAATTAGAAGCTGCAGATATACAAGTGGGGATTGTGCGTGTAATTAAAAGCCCTTGGCAATGCTTGATATACATATATAGATTTACATACATAAATAATTATTTTCACCTTTTTTTCACTCACTCGCTCACTCACTTACTTATTATTATTATTATTATTTAATTTCTCGTCTGATCTTTTGTACTGTATATAATATCACTTGTCACGTTCCGGTAACGATTTGCATATTTAGTTAATTGATCCCCCAGCAATAGGAAAAAAAAAAAAAAAAAAAAAATTGTTTTATTTGCTTTAAATGATTTTTTTTTTGTCCCCCGACAGGAGAGTGACGACAAAAGTCGCGTTTATCCGAGTCCCCCATATTGTCTCGATATTAAATGATAAACATTTTCATAACGTTCTGCTGAGGTTTTGATTTTGTACGAGAGAGAGAGAGAGAGATGGAGTGAGACAGAGTAACTAAAAGACACGTTACAACGTTACATACATTAAGAATCGTGTTTTTCTATTTCACTGTTCCTTCCGGTTAATTTAAGTATTTGTTTCTCTCTCTCTCTCTTTCTCTATCTATATCTCTATCTCTCTTTTTTATTTGTTTTTCCCGCTGTCCAAAACTGCGACTTTTTCATGTTTGATGCACATATTTATACAATTTCACTCATTATTGATTTATTTATTTATTTTTTTTACTCTCTCTCTCTCTCTCTCTCTCTCTCTCTCTCTCTCTCTCTCTCTCTCTCTCTCTCTAGCTCTTTCTATCTTTCTTTCACCCCCGAGGATTGTTTTTCTTTTTCTTTTCTTTGCACGAAAATTTGTTCGTTTTTTCATTCAATTTAAACAAAAAAAAAAAAATAATCATTGAATCGATATTTTTTATTACCCCTTCTCCCACTCACGCCCTCGCCCTCGCCCTCTGCCCCCTCTTCCCCCGAAAGCTTTAGGTTGTTTAAATAATTACCACCTATTGAAAACAAAAAAAAAAATTTTTTTTAATTTACCTCTCGTTTGTTATTATTTTATGTGTGTCAGAAAAAAATTTGTGATTGAAAAATGCATTGCAGGGAAAAGAACATTCGGCTCGAAGAACCAAATCCATTTGATACCATAGTGATAGTAGTAGTGATAATGGTTTTAAATGAGTAGAAGTAAACCGATGTTGACTGGGTTTATAGATGATGATGATAATAATAATAGATTGAGTAGATTTGGCATGAATAAAAATAAATAGTTGTCAATAATAAAAAAAAAAAAAAAGTAAATAATTTTGTACCTGCATGGTGTGTATCCTGCATCTTAGCAATATATTTAAATATATTAACAATTATCAGTCACGATCGTCGCCGAAAAGAAGAAAAGGTGAGTCGAAATTTTTTATAAATAAATTTTTTTTGTGTTGTTATTACGAAGGTAAAACAAAAAAAAACGTAATAATAATAAATTTTTTTTACGACGCTTCGAAATTTCACTTCCCATTTCGAAAGGATTAATAATAATTTGTTTTTTTTTTTTTTTTAAATTATTATTATTATTATTTCGTGTCACGTTTGAGTTTGTAATTGCGTCTGTCATCCGTCTCGTAGTTTTTTTTTTTTTTTTTACGACTCGATTTTTTAATCGAATCTCCCGGAAAAATTTGTTTTTCACGGGAATTACACGGCACGCGGCAAGACCCTCATTTTCTTCCCAAAATTATTAGGTAAACATAAGTTAATAAGAAATAAGCGAGATATTTTTCTAACAATTTGTTTGTTGTCGTCGTTTGTAAGGTTTTATTATTTAATTGAAAAACAACCGTTTGAAAATTTTGTTTTCGATATTAAATTAATAAATAGATTTGTTATTATTAATTGAGGTTTAATTAACGGACGCGATTTTAATTGACTTATTATTTAATAATAATAATAATAATAATAATTAATTGTTTGTTTGTTTGTATAAATTTTTCGACGTTGTTTTGTTTTTTTTTTTTTTTTTTTTTCTCTTAAATGAAAAATTTGTTTTGATGATTCCTTTTTTTTCTTTCACGTAATTTTTGGTTTTGGTCGTTTGTCGTTGTCGCGAAAAATTTTATTATTCATTTCCGGGAAAATAATACTCGGGGGAGAGGAGGGAGAGGACAGAGGATTTTCGCAAATGCCGTTGTTATAACTTTTCCCATTTTTTTTTTTTTTTTTTAAATAATATCAAAAAAGTTGTATAATTTAAAAAGTAAGTATTCGTTTGTTTGAAGTTATAATAATAATAATGAATTTTAAATGTTTGTTTTTGAGCTTTTTTACCCGAGCCGGTTGCATGAAATTATTATTATTATTATTAATAATTACCCGTAGTAGTAGTCGTCTCAGTTAATGGTTTGTTGATAGTTATTACGTTTGTTAATGAGTAATTTTATTATTATTATTCTTCTTTCTATATAAATTTTGATTAGAATTAAAAATGTTTCTTATATTTAGTAAAACGAAGAAGAAATTTTTGTGATGAAAAAAAAAAAATCGATTTGAATACAAATTAGGGTAGCGTCAAAAAAAAAAAAAAAAAAAAAAAAATTTACTTTTTCCGCCTTTCCAACTCGCATTTTTTTCCGATAAATCAACAAAATTTATTTTGTGACAAAAACAATAATAATAATAATAATAATAAAGAAAAACGTGTTGCAACGTTGAAAAAGACAAGACGAGAAAAAAAAAAAAAAAAAGGAAAAAAAACGAAACGAAAAGAAAGAGTCTGGAATTGTAAATTTTTTTTTTTTTTTTTTTGATAGATGTTTTTATTACGATAAATAACAGCGAATTCTCTGATAATAATAATGATTTATGAGTATATATATATAAATGTAAAAAAATTTTTTTTTGTTTTTCCCGTTTATTTTTCCGACAGGATTTCAAAGATTTCGTAGATGCTGAAAATCTCATGCCGTTGCCGACGAGTGATTTCCATCAACCCGTGTGCATGGAAATGAAAACGATGAACACGGATCCGGAAAGATATTCAATGTACAAAGAAAACGTTCGCGCGATTTCCAACAACAACAGCGTAAGCAAAAGGATAACAAAATTCGGAATAGAATCATTAGAATGTTCGAAAGGTGAAAGTGAAAAATTCATATCATGCGAAGGAGTGGTGAAAACATTCGAAGAGAATAAAAACGAAATGGGGGGAAGCGTTGATAGTTCGGACACGTTCGCGAGTTGCAACACTCACCCATTTCAATCCGAAGGAGATCTCACGTCTGACGTCATTAATCAAAGTTGTGCCATTTTCGATTACGTTTTAGACAATAGCAGTAACCTGTACGTGAATCCTCTCGATCTTCCCTTGGACGAAAGTTCAAACGTTTTACGCGGTTTAAAAAAAAGTGCATCCGGTGATACAGCATTAAGGAGTTTAGTTAATTCCACGACGGACAATTTGATTGGAAATATCGGACGTTCGCCGGAAAGAGGGAGCAGAGGGAGTTTGAATTACGTATCCGTACCTAAACATAGAAAAACTCGATTTCAACAGGTCAGTTGGTGTTTTATTTATAGCCGTGGTGTGTGGGGGGAGGGAGGGGTGGGAATCCATGTTAAATCTGAAACGATCTTTAGGGTAGATTTTATATATTTAATTTGTGTTTCATCGACTGTGTTCTCCAGTCCGTTGTCGGAAGTAGGAGAAATAGTTTTCCCGGTTGGGTCAATCACGAACATCAACGTTGCGGGTCACTAATGACCGGATCTCATTGTTTCGGTGAACATTCTAGAAGGTGTCCGACCGAACTCTGTTGGACTTGCACGAGGTTTCACATAAGCAAATCCGAACACGCCGTTTGGCGTACGTCATCAATTAGTTTGCAAGATATCGATACGGATGATAACGGTGCTTCCATGATGGAGTAGGTCAAAAACGAATCCTGACGGTTTTTGTTTTCAAAATTCGTTACTAATCCTCCGACTAATTTGTTTTTAATATAACACGATTGCATAACTGTGTCTCGACTACTAAAATTTGTCGTTTTAAACCGGAAATGAATAATTCGTTATTTGTTTTCAGATTGTCGTGTTTTTTTTTTTTTGTTTGCGATAACCGTGGTTAACGAAGTCGTTAATAAAATAACGATAATGATAATTTAATAAAATGTTTTTTTTTTTTTTCCAGGGGGTAAAATCTAGGGGTAAATACGGTGACACACACGATAGATCACTTAAAAAAAGAGATTCGCAAGAAAGTTTAGAAGGGAAAAGGGAAAAATATATTCCGATAAAAGGTTTCACGTCAGCGACGAAACTTATCAATCAACATATTTTTGGAATGCAAAACGGAAGGAGTAGCAAAGGTAGTTTTTTTCTTTTTTTTTTTTTTTTTTTTTTTTTTTTTGGAAAAGTCTCGGAAAATTTTTCCCTATCAGGAGGAGAAGAAGGAGGAAGAGGAGGAGGAGGAGTCGATGAATGAAAATAAGAAGAAAAGTAATTTTTGATAACCCGCATAACTGTCGAGTTTTTTGTTTTTTTATCTTTTTCAATTAGAATTATTTTCCCACAGTTAAAAAGTGAATTTTTTTTTTTGAGTTCACACGGTTCACAGAGAGAGGGGGACACGCGCGTGAAAAGCAGAAAATCTCGATTTTTTTTTTCTTTCTTTTCCAGTTTGTAAAATTAAATTTTTTTTTATTATTATTAGATTAAGGGATGGAATTAATTTTTGTACGTTGACTTTTATCGTTAGAAAGTACCCAAAAAAAAAAAAAAAAACTTCCCCCCCCCGCCCACCCTCCCTCTGCGAAACTTTTCAAATTCGTTCGATGTTCGAATTTACGAATAAATATTTTACTTTTTCGAAAAAATGAAAAATTCCATTCATAATTCATTTCAATCTATTTTAAATATCATGTTGGAAAATTAATTTTTTTTTTTCTGTCTGTTTTGTCTGTTTGTGCCGTAAAAAAAGGAAAAAAGACCGAAAATAAAAATCCGACGGCGGATTCTATTGAAAATTGGAACGCGATGAATTCAGATCAAAATCGTCGTTCAAAATCAATATTGAAAAAAACGGAGCAATCATATTCGAAATACATGGATCCGGAATCGGAAAAACTAATATCGGACACATCATCCGTTCGCAGCATGTTTATACCAAATCCCAAAGATGTGGGATTCGATTTTGATTACGGGAGTAAAGATCAGAACAACAGCATCGTCACGTTCAACAACAGATCGTCGAGAGGAACGTCACCATCATCGAGCATGAAATATCAAGTTAGTGCTGATGACGCAAGTTTTTTTTTTTTTTTTTGTAAATCGGGTACGGGGGGAAGGGGGCGGGGGGCGGGGAGACAGAAAAAATAAGGAAAACTTTTTTTTTTTTTTTTTTTTTATTGCGTTTCAGACAGAATCCGGGATTAAAAGTCTCGCTACGAAATCGGGAATGAAATCTCATCATGCACTGCCTATAAAATTTATTGGATTTTCAACGGACTCGTCAGATTACAAAAATGAAAGCATAAAATCTCCTTTGCTACTTTTAGACGATTACTGGAAAGGGGGAAAAAGTTACAGGGATGATGATGATGATGATGATGATGATGAAAATGATTATAAAAAAAAAATTTATAAAGATAAATTGGAAAGTCTATCGTCTTGCATTTCGTCATCAGGTGAGCGGTAGAGACAGGACACGTGGTGCGTACATAAGTGCAGAAATTATTTTTTTTTTTTTTAATTTTTTTGTTCCAGGAGAAACGGGATGCTGCGGAGGAAAAAAATATTCACGAGAATCGCCTTTGTATATTTGCCCACCACCACCACCATCACGTTGTCCCCCTATGGATGGAGACAATTCACCCACGGAGGAAACAAATCTTTTAACTTCGAAATCATCAAAAGACAAATCATTATCGTAGCAGAAGTGGTGGTGGTGGAAGGAAGAGGTCATAGTTCACGAAAAATAATTTCGATATCCGCATTTAAAACAATAACAAAAAAGAAAAATTATTTTTTCTATGTTTTAGGATTTGGTAAAATCAGCTCAAATAAAAATTTTAAATTCCCGAATCGATTGATTGAAAAAAAAAAAAAAAAAAAAAAAAAATGACTGCCATGGACTTTATCGTTTTATCACTCAAAAAAAATAAAAAATAAAAAAAGTTTAAACGAATGAAATTTTTAATATATATAAATACATTTTTTTTTTTTTTTTTTAAATGTTCTAGAAAGAAGAAGAAGAATTCACGCCCGCAAGTGCGCTTTTTCACTCCCATTTTTTTTTTTTTTTTTTTAATTTTCATACGGATAAATTATTATTATTATTATTATTAAAATAATTGTTAATGGTCGGAAAAACTTTTTTTTTATATATTTTCAATTAATTGTTATTATTATTATTAACGGCCGGTTATTAATACACGTGCACACACACACACACACACACACTCGAATAGTTTGACGTCACATATATTTTAGATATTTATATATATATACGTATACGTTATGAAAATAATAATAATAATAATAATAATAATTCGAAAGCACGCCTTATAAAAAAACTCGCACCCTTTGCACGCTTTCGTTCGGTAAACAAAAATAATAAAATTAAATTTCACCCATTAGAAATTTTTAATAAATAAATAAAATAAATAAATAAATAAATTAGTTTTTGTGATTTGATGGGATTTAGATTCGAGTTTGTTTTTTTTTTTTTTCATTTTTTTTTTTTTTTTAAATAATATCGATGACGATTATGATGATGATGATTATGATGTTAATATAAATAATAATAATAATTTTAATAATAATAATAATAATAATAATAAAATTAGGCTCATCGACTAGGAAAAAACGTTTTTTATATATATATATAATAAGTATATATACGTATATGTTTTAATCAAGTTTCGTCTGCTTTTTTCCTTTTTTTTTTTCTTTTTCTTTCTTTTTTTTTTTTTTATTATTATTATTATGATTTTTTTTCATTAAGTTCGTTACGTACGAAAATTAATTTTGAGTTATTATTATTATTATTATTATTATTATTATTATTGTTTTAAAAAAACATGAAAAAAATTTTTAATAATAATAATAAGAAAAAAAAATTCAAATTGTTTGTTAACGATGCAATAAATAAATAAAACGATTTAGTTAATAATAATGATGATGATAATAATAATAATAATAATAATAATAATAATAATAATAATAATAATAATAATAATAATAATAATAATAATAATAATGAGAGGGATGGATGATTCTTTTTATTATTATTATTATTATTTATTTTTCGTCGTGCTTACGTTTAGATAATTTAGAAAAATAATGTAGATTTTGAAAAAAAAAAAAAAAAAAAATTAAATAAATAAATAAAATTTTGTTTTAACCCCCTCTTGCCCCCTCATCCCCCCCGTAGGAACTTATATGAAATGATAATCATGTGTTTTTTTTTTTTTTTTTGTTTTTTATTTCTTCCTTTTTGTTTCAACGATTGATTTATAAAAAAAAAAATTTGTTCGAATTTGTTGTTAAACATAAAACAACAACTGTTAACAACAACAACAATAAATTGATAAGAAAAATTATCAAACAAGATAATTCACGTAAAATACACAAACACACACACACACACTCTCATAATACGTATGTAATTTTTTTTTTTTTTTTTTAGTTAAAACTTTTTTATTTATTTATATTATTATTATTTATTTATTTAATTGACGATATAAATAATTATAATGGATTTAAAGTTTTTAAACAAACAAAAAAAAAAAATGTCTTAATTAAGGTTTTATTTCGATACAATATACAAACAAAAAATAAAAATAAAATAAATTTAAAAAAAAAAAAAAGTGCTGTGATTTTTTTGTATCAGTTGTGATAATTATTATTATTATTATTATTATTATTATTATTATTATTATCATTACTATTTTTATTATTATTATTAATGAATTTTGGTGCTGGACGCCTTATTTTGTCATAACAAAAAATAAAATAAAATAAAATTTTTGACGTTTTATTTTTTTTTTAATTTTTAAATTATTTTTTGTTATATTTTTATTTTAATTATTATTATTATCATTATTATTATTTTCGTTAAAAATTGTTTATAAACATCAAAATGGCGAAGTAAGTTCAGAATAAGAAAATGTTTTTTTTTTCTTTTATTTTTTTTTTTTTATGTAAACATCAATGTAAAATAAAAATAAATTTTATTATTAATAAAAAAAAAAAAAAAATTATTTATTTAAAAGAATTCCTTATAAATAATAGAAATAATTAATTAATCGATAGAGGAAATGCATGATATAAATTTGACGTAAATAAAATTTTTTATTTTTCATTTCCGGTTTAATTTTTTTGTCGTATGCGGCAAAATAGAAAAAAAAAAAAAAAAGCGGGGAAAATTTTTATTTTGTTATTGTTTTTGCGTCAAAACGTTAGTTAAATTAAAATCGAAGCGCTGAACGAAATTTTTTATTAGAAAAACATAATAAATAAAACGTTTTTAATCATCGTCGTCAATCATCGAATGGGAAATTTTTTTTTTTTTTTTTTTTTTAAATGAATGCGAAAAACGTCGCACGAAAAATTTGGAATTTTTAAAATTTTGTATCAGGCAAACATGATGTTATAAAACGTTCGAATGAAAACGATGAGGTTTGTGTTGTGACTTTAATTTTTAACTCATTATTTTTAAATTAATTTTTTTTATTTGTTAATGTCTTTGTCAACGTGTTTGAAAATTTAAAATAATTAAATTAATGAATTTTTTAAAATGATATCTTTTATCGCATTGTGATCATATTACTTTTAATCATATTTCTTTTTTTAAACAATTTTTTCTTTAAATAAATTTTTTTATATTGAATTAAGAATAATTTATATTTCAATATAAATAATTACATAAGGATAACAACAAACAAATAATAATATTAAATTATATTAATGAATATTTTATTTATTTATTTTTTTTTATAGGAAATAATAAAACAATAAACTTATTTTAAACAAAAATTTATAAAATAATTTCCATCCTGCAGTCTATTTTACTTAAATTCGAAGAAGTTTGGTGAAATATTTAATGTAAAAAATTATGGCATAATAAATAAGCATATATTAACAACAATGTTTGAAAAATTCATATTTATGTAAACTATAAAGCAAATATGCTGTATACGAGAAGGTATGTAATCAATGTTTTTTTTTTTTTTTTTTTTTCGCTTTATAAATTGTATAAATTATCAGGTTTACTAAACCTTGAATTTTAAATTATGCAAAACATTATTATTATTACATTGCATGATTGCTTATAATTATAAAAATTTTTTCTTTTAAATTTATTGACTAGACATATCGAATAGTTTTTTTTTTTTTTTTTTTTTTTTGTAAGTAATTATATGTATAAAAGTGAAAATTTTTTTTTTTTTCCCTTATTTTATAATATTTTAAAAACTAATAACTTATTTTATTATTTAAAAAAAATTTTGATATTTTTCTTAAAGCAAAAGACACATAAATTATACAAAATTTATAATTAAAAATTAACATAATTCGTTAAATGTTTTAATAAATTTAATAATAATTTTTTCCCACTTCTATTTATACTGGAAAAAATTATTTAATTAAAAATATGAGTAATGAATAGTGATTTTGACTATTATTTACAATATTTTCAGTGTTTTATCAAAGAAACATTTTGATAAAAAAAAAAAGAATTGTTTTTTTTTTTATCTATCTTTTCTCGATGAAAAGATTTTTTTAAAAAAAAAACAAAACAAATTTAAAACGAGTGAAAAAAAAACGAAATCAATAACAAAAATTTTAAAAAACAAACAAAGTTAAGTTTTAGGTATGGTAGGGAAATGATTTTAAAAAAAATATTTACATGATATAATATTTCACCAATAAAATGTTCTTTGTAAAAATCCTGCTGCGGAACAAAACCACTCGGATGCTGCTATTCTTATATCTTTGGCAGATCTAACGGCTTTTTCTTTTACAGGAGAATCTTTTTCATCAAGATATGGAGGGAGATCTTCTAAATCTAATGTTTTGTCATTGTCAATTAAAGGAACTAATATTTCTTGATTATTTTTGTTTTTAGATATTAACTGTGCTTCCATGTCAGTATTTTCAGATATAATTGTAGCAATGGTTTTAGGATCAATGTGATCGAAAACAGTCATTGTACATTTTTGATGTTCAACATCGATAATTACAGATAAAACACCTTTCATTTTTTTCATTAGTATATCTTCCAAATCTTTACGAGTTTCCAAGTGTAATCCATTTATATATAATGTAAGTACTTTTTTATTTTTGTTATTTTGACATTTTTGCCCAGTGTTTTTGTTGTTAGAATTATTTGAATTTTTCAATTTTTCTAATAAATTTTTTGCCTTATCTTTAATGTCAACATTTTTAACATCTTTCCTGTTGAGAATTAAATTAACCGCTTCTGTAACACCAAATGTAGACCGAATTTTATCTATATTAGAATTAGTGTCCGATAATAATAATAATGTATCCAAAGACGTTAATAAAACTTCTTCGTCCGAGGTATCTAAAACGTAAGTCAAAAAATTTATAGCTGTTTTATCTTTAACTATTTCTGAATGATTTTCAGGATTTTTGGCGAGTTCTTTGTATTTTTGTACAGCAGATAATGGTGTTAATGGGTCAAGATTTGTGTTATTCATTTTCTATAATCAATCTATTGTCCACGGATAATCACGGTAATATTGTTGTTAATACGTAAAATTCCATATTTATTTTCAAATAAAACTCAAAAACTAAATAATCTCATTTAACACGATCAATTAAAAAAAAAAAAAATTTTTTTTAACTACGTACATTTTTCTAGTCATACACAAATGATGACCACGGTTAATTTTAGTTTCTAGACGTTGGAACGTTATTTTGTTAAAAAAAACGAAAAAAAAAAAAAACAGTTCGATGCCTCCGCGATCAATATTTTTGATTTAATATTTTCGCAGCTGATTTTTATTTATCAAGTTGGTACGTTTGTATACAGCCTTGATTTTGTATCTAAATTTTTATTCAACCTCGAGACAAAAAATTCTTTTGTTATTAATCAACTCCAATTGACTATTTTAGATGGATTCAAGAATCAAAAACTCAGTTTTATTATATAGGAAACATTTTTCAATAAATATAAGTGCTTAGTGCGTATATAATTTAAATAAGGAGTAAAATGTATTGTTTACAATGGATGATACCAGTTTTATTAATACCAAAGCCTGTGAATCCTGCTCTGCTTCATACGCATGTTATGTTCATGATATTATACATAACAGGATTTTTTCTTGAAAGAAAACCCTGCACAATGTGTAGTGTTGTATTTTTGGCCGCTGTATTTTTGATTTGTTATAGCGGTTGGGGTAATTGTTTGTTTTGGAACAACGACTGTGATTCCGTACGTTGTGAAAATGGGTGACATTTGTAATTTCTTTAGAAACTTTTTTTTTTTTTTTCTCTCCCCTCTTAAATTAATAATATTCAATAATATTCCCCTCTCCCTCATGTATATTTATTTTCATTTTGTTAATGAGTTATGTTTTGTATAGGTATGTAAATTTTTTTATTATACATGTAAATAATCGATGAAATTAAAGTTTTATAACATATTGATGACATATATTAAAGCC